TTCAGAAGTTGATCGCCGGTATCACCCGTAGACGATGTAGGTGATGTGGTAGGTGTAGATGTTGCAAGATGACGTTTTCTTTGTAGAGGGTTAGCGCGTTAATGATGGAGATGATGTATGCGATGCTGATGAAGTGTAGACGGTGTACGTGATGTAAAGGATGTCGGAGATGCGGATAATCTATGGCATGTGGATGAAGTGAAAAGTTGAATTTGGCAGCAGTTCCGTGGGAAAGGCCCTTTGCGGCAGCTTTCGGGGACAAGACGAGAGGCAATAAGAACATCCAGCAGCAAGGCAAAGAAGGGAGACAGGAAGGGAAGCAAGAAGAAAGACAAGAAGGGGGACCGGAGGTGACCAGAAGGGATTTGGAGACAAGCTTGCCAGAAGGTGCCAGCGCCAGGCGGCAAGAAGAGAGACGATGGGAGACTTGCAGGGGGGCTGACACAGCATCCTACGGCAGCGCAAAGAGGGAGACATGAAGCGAGACAAGAAAGAAGACAAGGGCAGTGCATGCGAGCATAGCACCCGAAGGCAAGGCAAACGCTTTTGAAAGCATTAGGGCCCCGGAACAGCCACAATACCAGCAAGTCATTTCGGATGATCTAAACCAAGCCGCTCCGATCCCTGCAGGAAGTGCTGTTTTGGTCCTTGTGCCTGTTGGCCGTGATCCAATGCCCCTTGGCACCGGCCCAGCTGGTTTTCCCAATTTTGTTATTCTTAATGGCAGGCTTTGGCGGGCATACTGGTACGTTCACGTTTCCGGAGCCTGTCTCAAAGTGGCTTTCCTACCAGGTATTGCTGGGATGCTTTTAGCGCAATCTGTTCAAAGCTTTCTCCTCGACGAAAGCAATGACGCAGAAGCGCGGCAAGCTGTCTTTCGTTCCTCAGCAGAACAAAGGGCGCGCTGCTCTTTGATGTGTAATGGGCTACTTTTGCTTCCTTTCAGCGCCAAGGAAAACAGAAGCCAGCATGGGCATTGCAGGCAAAAAGCACCGCCGCGTTTTGCAAACCTGTGCCTAGGCTACTTCGGCACATTCACAGCGACTTTGCTTACAATGTTTGAGGCGCGGTGATCAGAGGGCCGCTGACGGAACATCATCTCAGGGCTGCGTTCGGCCTTCTCATTTACCATGCACTAAAGAAAGCGCGGCTTCGTTGTGTGGTTTGCAGACGGGTTTGGGGGCTTTGCTGCCATAATCTTCTGGCCAACACCGCGGTCACAAGGGCGGGCATCGTCAGCGCCATATTGTTCATCAGCATCACCATCACATTCAGCGGCAGCTTATAGTGGTGCTTATAGTGACCATCTGTGCCATGATGCGCAGTGTCGTCAGCGCCATCATCATTTGATACTGCCTGCGCCACCGGCATTACTACCCTTGTGCCGCATCGTTCTGGCAGTCAAAGCCTTTATCGGCATTCACATCATCATGGTTATCATCACCATTCCTCCTCATCGTCTTCAGCATCATCATCATAATCATCATCATCGTCATCATCATCATTATCATCAGCAGCACCACGTCCACCAGCAGCAGCAGCACCACCACCACTAGCCATGTTTCATTGCCAAATCATCATTCCAGTGTCCTGGCCCTTGCCCCACAAAACATCATTGCTCCCCCTTGCCACGTTGCTACTGCCCTCTTCGTCTTCATTGCCGTTTTCCTTGCTGCCCTTGTCATCATCTTTGCCACCATCATGGTCCATGCCCCGATGATCATCTTCACCACCATCATCATAGCCACGCACCCATCCGCAGCAGGTTTTAATGGCAAATTGGGCTCCGCCTTGTCGAGTTTTGGTGGACTGCGTCAGCGAGTGGTGCGCCCGGGAAGGGGTGAAGATGCGCAGTTTTCCAGGGGTTGGTTTGGGGCATCGAGCCTTGAAACGCGCGCGATATTGCGCGATTGTTTTTGGGGCAGCTTGCTCAGCCACAACCATGAGTTTCTCGTTTTGCAGGGGTGCGGTTATATGTGTATGTGCGTTTTCTTTGTCCTTCACTGGGAGGGAGAACGAGAGCGAGAGAGAGAGAGAGAGATTCACGGCAGCCAAGAAAGTCACAAAAGCATTTACAAAGCACCGCAAGGTGGCTCATTGACATGTCTCCGTCACTCCGGCTCTATCCCTCCTTTGCTTTTTTGTGCTTGCACAACTTATCATGTGACAGATCAGCAGGCCTGGCCCCTTGGCATCCCAGGTACTCATTTGGGTTCATTGTCTACCGCTGCTTGGTGGGATCCTTGTCCCGGTTGAAGGTTCAATTGGGGCTGCTTTTTAAGAGGGCAGGCAAAGTTGAGTTCGCTTTCTTTTGCCTGCACATCTGCGCGGCCAAGGATTTGCCGTCCTGAACGTGGTGTCTGCTGCAGCTCGGGCTGACGCGGGTGGTTAGGAACAATGGTTTGCCCCGCATCTAAGGGTGCTGTTCTTGGTTTGGAGCGAAAGGATACCCAATAGATTGAATTAGTCAGAATCCTAGAATTAGTAAAATCTATAGATTTCCTGGAAATCGGTAGCTTTTTTCCTACCTATTAGTTAGAAAAAATCTATCTATTAGTTAGATTTGGCGACGGACGTGGGGTCGTAGTTTGGTAGAAACTAAGTCGGACTTTCGCCCCCCTTGTTTGGTCCTGGGTCGGAGTTTGATGGGAGTTTGGCTGGCCAATTTTGCAACCCTTCCAACACTTTGTGGCTCCAGGGTCGGAGTTTGGTCGGACTTTGGTCGGAGTTTTGCTCAAAACGAGGTCTAGGAAATCGATAGATTTCTAAGAAATCGGTAGATTATTTCTGTCTATTTAGTTAACTTTTTTCTGTCTATTTTGAAAATCTAAAAATCGATAGATTTTCAAGAAATCGGTAGATTTCTACAAAATAGTTTATAGACCAAAAATAATCTAATTCAATCTATTGGGTAGAGAATTTAGCCCGGCCGAAATTAGGGCGGGCCTAGGGGCCGCTGAACATATTTGAGGTCTTCTTGCAGCAAACTATGAAGGCGCTTCCTCGGTGATGCTGGGATGTTTTCATAAGAACAAGCAGCGGCCCAAAGATGTGAAAGATGCATTGCAATGACAGGTGGCAGCCGCAGATCAGGAAGTGGCCCTGCACCAGCGCGAGATGGCGGCAGAGGCGCTGCTTTTGGCGCAAGCTCTTCAAAACAAAATTTCGGGATTTCACGCCTGCGGCCAAGTTTCAGCTACACACCGGGCTCATTCTAAATAGGCTGTATCCGGCGATGTTTATTTCGGGCTTTCGCTCGGCCCGCTTGCAAGTGTCACTTTTGCAGTCCTGCATCCCGGATTGAATTCAATAGTGTAGTTTACATGCCGGAAATTGCCGTGTAGAATCTTTCACACTATATATGTCCACAGTCTCCCAATTTCCTAGATGCGTAGCCAAGCGTCCGCGTTTATCTTCACGGACCTGGGGGTGGAAGGGTGTTCACTCGGCCGTGCTTTGCCGTTGGCAGCCCTCCTTACCTCCCCGGAATCAAAGCCAATTTGGCTGTAACGCGGGCACGCGGTTTGTGAAGGTCGTGATAGTCGTGCTGGGGTGCTTTGTCTGGCAAGATTCAGACGTGTGGGATCACGCGTCAACACGCCTTTTTGGGTGTGGCGCCGTCCGCTTTTCATGGCAGGCGCAGCATTTCAGGAATGCCCATGTCGGTGCTTCAATTTTTTGCGGCAAGTCGCAGTGGGACTGTTGCGTCACACTGACAAAGTAGGCACTGTGCGTCGCACCCCTTTCTGTAGACAAGTTCCGGCGCGCGTCGAAAGTCGCTATGCGTGGTTTCGCGTTGGCACGGCTGCGTGAGGCGCGATGTTGCAGTGGCTTTTCATGCTATGTTGCTGCGCAGGGCCCGATATTTAATGGAGTTGCAAAGGGCAACGGCCCTACGCCCCCACTCTACACGTCCCATGCCGCCCTCTACGGCTCTACGTTTTACACCCTGCGCGCTGCACCCCGCACAATTTTTACATTCCAGGCTTTACATTCTACACCTTACACCCCACACGCTGCGCTACCCACTCTGCGCCGTACATTCTGCATATTACACTGAGCATTTTACACTCCGGACTCTACAGTCTATACTTTACATTCCCCATTCTCCATCCCGCGCTGCACGCCCCACGCTTTACACTCAACACGTTACATTCTTTGCGCCGCGTTCAGCATTCTACACTGCGCTTCAGCTCCACGCTTTACATTCCGCGCGCTACACTGCACACCTGACACTTTACGCACCACGCCCTACACTGTACATTCCGCCTTTTGTGGTATAGTATGCATGTTTCATTCCCTCTGTCCGAACCATGTTAGACAGTGGTGATGCATCGGAAAATTGTGAAATGCCGCCCCTTTTACATTGTCTTTGCAGTGGAAACATGGTGGTTTGAGGCGCTTTTTCCTATTCAGCCACCCGCGGCAATGCAAAAGCGCTCGCCGCCGTCGCAGCAAGCACCTTGTGGGAAAGCCCCCGAGGGTCCCACCTGCAGACATTCTGTCAGTCGTCCGATGTGATTTGGTGCGACCAACATGGTGTTTGATGACACGCAGAGGTGACAGCCAGCGCGTCGACACACGCATGGTCTCGTTTAAGTCTTTTCGCTTCTTTGCTGCAGGCGCAATATTTGGAGGAAGTTTAAATTAATGTTCGCATATGGGCGCGAATTTTGGGCTTACCGTTTTCTGGGGGAAATCGGCGTGGCAGCGCTGTGCGAAGCAGCGTCGACATGCAAATTTCTGGCAGCCTGCGCGCATTGTGAAGTTCTTGCATCCCGCGGCAGATGCAACTTGTACTAGTTTCCTGTATTATTCGCGAAAGCTTCGCCGCCTGTGGGCCGGGAGGGGCTTTGGGAGTGGTGGCGTGGCACGCATCAACAGCTCTTTTGCGTGACGAGCGAATGCTTGTGAATAGCGCTTTCGACTTGTCCCTCGCAGGCGCGATGATGCTTTGGAGATGCCCGCAGTGCCAACGAGACGGTACGAAACGCAACCCGTTCGCACGAAACGAGCTTCGATCGCCAAAAACTGAGGTGAAGTTGCGATTTTGAGTGTGCCGCGACAACCCTTTCAACTTTCGCACGAAACGAAGTTCGATCGCAAAAACTGAAGTAAAATTGCGCTTTTGAGTGTGCCGCGACAGCCCTTTCGCAGGAAACGAGGTTCGATCGCCAAAATCTGAGGTAAAACTGCGATTTTCACGGGTCCGGCGCAACCCTTTCGCACGAAATGAAGTTCGATCGTCGAAAACTGGGGTACAATGATACTTCTTGCATGACAACATGGCATTGGCGGCCGACCGCTCTGATTCATACGTTTTGATGTCCAAACGTGCTAGTAAAATGGTGATTTCGCAAGTTTGCGCGCAACCCTTTCGCACGAAATGATGGTCGAGTGTCAAAAACTGAGGTGAAATTGCCTGTGTGTGTGTGCGTGTATGTGTCTTCCTCTGTGTGTGTGTGTGTCTGTGCCTGTGTGTGTGTGTGCGGGTATATGTGTCTTCCTCTTTGTGTTCTGATTGTGTGTGTGTGTGCGTGTGGTGTCTGTCTGTGTACCGTGTGTGTGTGTGTGTGCGTGTGTGTGCGTGCGTGTGCGTGTGCGCGTGCGTGTGGGTGTGTGTGTGTGTGGACCATCTGAAAAGATGTAAAACTTCTAAACTTCCTTTATTAAGCAGGGGATCAATAGTATATTTTTGATGGAGAGGACATATGAGGCTCCATCCAACGAAGCTCCTCATATGATCCTAGGATATCACCAGGGACGCCTGGTGACGTACCTGCAACACCAATTTATTTTCCCGTCAATGGCAACCGGCTAAGCCAAGAACCGGCATGTCGCTGTTCAGTGTTTCAGTTGCATCAGGACCTTCCTCAGAACTTCAACGTCAACAGGTTCATTATATTGTACGGTTTTCGCAATCTGAATTACTGCCGACTTCGTCAGATGGAACAGTTGTTTTTGCAAGGACAAAGAAAGCAATCTTCTTTACTGGTTTTCCTGCCATGTCATCCAACTCTCACCTGTCAGACTTTAAGGGATTGTTTGTGCACGACCGATGCACTCCACAACAGTAATTCGATAAGAATTTTCTGAGCAAGTGTGTCATTCCTGCTGTATACGTCAAGTTGGCAGGAACCCTTCGGGGAAATCCTTTCCAGGCTAACAATTGACAGTAAATCGATGTCTGAATTTACACTTTTGAATTAGTAATTCGTCTAAGTAAAGTGAACAGCTGGCCATTTTTCATTGTTTCACATGTCGGTCGAGTGAGTGTTGAACTGCTTCCCGCTGTCTCGGGGACTCCCTTTTTTACCGTTCTTCATAGCTGGCAGCCACGTCAACATCCGTTTTTCAATGTTGCTCGAGAGAACGCTCAGCAGTATGCATCATGCTCATGATCAGGTGAGGCTACAGGACATGCGTCAGGTGTGGTTCTCCTTTCTTTTGATGGTCGTTGGTGAGGTTCAATTGTGCACCTAATTCAGGGGTTGAACACGTTAGCCGTCCAGAGGGTTGTGACTTGAAAGCCGAGGGCCTTTGAGCCTTATCACGAATTTGCATGAGTTGTGGATGCATCATGTCATAACTAGTTCCCCATGGGTCCCTATTTCATGTGTTCTTGCGTTCTCCTCTCTCCAGGTAGGTTTGGCCCGTTGCGTGCTGAGGTTGTTGTAGGTTTTCGCCGTGTCAGGTTGGTTCAGGCGCTTCTGTCTTCCCCCTCCTCCGCTGGTCTTGTTCCGTTTTCCGTCGGCCTCCGCTTTTCTTTTCCCTTGCCTTTCCAGGGTTGCCCGTTTTGGGCTAGGTTTCATGTGTTGGTGTTTGCTCTTTCCCTCTTCTTTTGCGTTCCCCTCTTTGCGTCCTGGTTAAGTAACTTTCATCTCATTGTCATCTTCACCTCATTCTCATTTCCCTTCTTCTTCATTTTCATCTCATTGTCGGGACCTTAGTTGCCAAAACAGCCTCGCGGCAGCGAGGCGTGTGTGTGGACCATCTGAAAAGATGTAAAACTTCTAAACTTCCTTTATTAAGCAGGGGATCAATAGTGTATTTTTGATGGAGAGGACATATGAGGCTCCATCCAACGAAGCTCCTCATATGATCCTAGGATATCACCAGGGACGCCTGGTGACGTACCTGCAACACCAATTTATTTTCCCGTCAATGGCAACCGGCTAAGCCAAGAACCGGCATGTCGCTGTTCAGTGTTTCAGTTGCATCAGGACCTTCCTCAGAACTTTCAATGTCACAGTTTTCCTTATATTGTAACGGTTTTCGCAATCTGAATTACTGCCGACTTCGTCAGATGGAACAGTTGTTTTTGCAAGGACAAAGAAAGCAATCTTCTTTACTGGTTTTCCTGCATGTCATCCAACTCTCACCTGTCAGACTTTAAGGGATTGTTTGTGCACGACCGATGCACTCCACAACAGTAATTCGATAAGAATTTTCTGAGCAAGTGTGTGCGTGCGTGTGTGTGTGTGTCTGTCTGTGTCTGTGTCTGTGTCTGTGTGTCTGTGTGTGTGTGTGTCTGTGTGTCTGTATCTTTGTTTGTGTGTGTGTGTTTCTTTGCTGTCTGTCTCTGTCGGTCTTTCAAATTTTGTGTCTATCTTTGTCTGCTTCTGCTTAGAATCTGGCATAGCATTTCTATCTCCTTTCTGCTGATCATCCGCATCATTTGCAGTGAAACTTTCACCTACAATGTCTTTGATACTACTTACAAGAGAGTAACATGCTCTTCTACGCTCTCAGGCCATCCGTCGTCTAGTTGCTTTTTCTTCACGCTGGCATTTTTTGGCTGCCCAACCTTTTGCTCAAGCAAGCTTTTCTCTTTGGGTTGCTTCTGTCTCAAGTAGCCTTTCTTAAAGCCGCAGTTTCCTTCAGTGAATGGCTCTTTCTCTGGGTTGCTTGCCTCTGCTTTCCTATCTTAGGCTATTTCTTTCTTCTTTGCACTGCCCTTTTCTTAAATCATGCCTCCTCTGTGCCAATTTTTGTTTTGGGCCGCTCTTCTTTTGAGCAGTCTCTTCCATTCAGCCGTCGTCAGCCGTCGGGCAGCAGCTTCGCTTGGCAAAGTTTAAGCGGCTTCTTTTCTCAGCTGCTTCTGCGGCGGGCTACAGCTTCTCGGCGAGAATGCTCCTTTTCCTGCGGCGTTGTCTTTTCTTGACACGGGGCTGCAATTGCCACTTCAATCACTTTTTCAGGGACCCCGCCCAAAGACAGATGTTGGCCATGTTCCGGGGAAGTTTCTTCACACGCGCCCCCGTCCAGAACGGAAGGCGTACACGAAAAAGCTGGAAGCCTTTTTCAAAAAGCTGGACAAATCTGGCGACGGCTGGGGCCCCAAAGCCTATTGATAAGTTTGATTTTCGCTTTGCAACCGGGAAATGCCTGATGCAGTGGGCGTATTCAGCCGTGTTGCCGACTACTGTGCTTTTTTCAGCTTGATCAAACACAGCGTAATATGCACGCAGCGGTGCTGATGGCCCAGTCCTCTACCAAGGCGTGCTAACTTGGAAGGAGTTTGGCGCTGTCCTGAACAGCCCCAGGCTGCAAAACTGGCTAGCGACCTTGGAGCTGGAAAGCAATGACTTGGTTAATTTGCCCCTGGGCCGCAAAGGGATGGGTTGATTTGAGGGATTGCTTCATCTCTTTTTGAATCATACCAGCTTATGCTGGCAAGGGGTTTATCAGCGGGTTCAGCAAAAAGCCATTGCACATGGTTTTGACAGAGGCAAAGCCGCGGGTGAATTTTTTCCCGCCCAACAAACCTTGAATGATGCGCCGGGCAAATGACGCACAAGAGCATGGGCCAGCGCCTCCGGCCAAGCCAGCCGAGGTTTAACATGATTGATGACGGCGACGGCGAGATCTCTTTGGAAGATTTTTTACATGGCGCAAGGTGCAGGGGAAGCAGACCCGGCTTCAAAGTATGGAGTTGGGCACCAGGGCCGTCCTCTTACAGCGGTGCGAAACTCTCTAGTGTTCAAGTTGCCTGGCGTAGTTTTCCAGTAGCAAGCCTCATTCTTCATGACGGCTCTCTTGTGGGTTCAACAACAAAGGAAAGAATGTGTTGATTTTTGAGCACATACCATACAATAAGAAAACAGCAGCTGCAGGCGTGCTATCCCGTTGCGCCTGATTTTATTCGCCCCTTTTAGCTTTTAACTTCAAGCTAAAAAAAGCCGGTCGTGCAATGGAAAAACCGAGTGTGCGAAACCGCCTACGGAGCATAGCAAAGTATGGGCCGAATATGCAACTGCACACTGAGAAGCATTTCCAAATTCCACATGCGTCAGATGGACACGGTGCTTTTCTGGATGGCGCGAACGCGTGTCGTGGACCACATAAGCGCCTTTTCAAGCCAAGATGCGCGCATGCATATTTGCATTCAAAGCGCGTCAGAGCGGCGCAAAATGCCCGCTTACTCGGCCGGTATTGTTTTCGATACATTTTAATTACTATATTCTTTCCGGTTTATGCCGTGTGCAATTTGTTTCAGCGCCTTTGTTTCGCTGGTGGGAGCTGAGCTGGAGGCATCTCCGCGGCCCTGCCAGCAGCATAGCCCTGGCAGAAGTCATGGCTACAGCTCGGCGGACAGAAGCCAAAGCAGAGGCCAGGGCTGCCGTCAAGCAAATTCTGTGGCTAAAGGTGGCAAGCATCCCCCACTTGGTTCTCGATTTGGATGGCTCAGCAAAGGGGTAAGAAAAAGGACATCAACCCTCTTTTTTGGAGCTGCGTAATTGGTGTTTGCTTGTTTTGCCAGGGCAGGGCCAGCCTACCCCTGCCAGATTTTTTCATGATGGCCCCTTGCGATAGGTTTATGGTAGCCTTACCAGAGTTTCCTCATGTAAAAAGTATTTACGAAGGCATTGACATTGGGGATTTAAAAACTTAATCATGAAGAACAGCACTTTGCCAGCTTTGCTTCCTGAGGCATTGCTAATGATGCTTCCAAACATGTCCGGGGTCGGCGTACAAGATCTGAAGAAGAGAGCCCGTAGGCGCGCGGCTGCATTTTCAACACGCGGATAAGCAATTTGTTCGTTGTCATTCCTTGGCCCCGTCATTGGCGCATGAGAAACCGCCTGCCTGCCAACCCAAGGATGAAGAGCCCAGCGGCGGCTGCAGGACGGGGGGGCCCCGTGCCAGCACGCCCGCACCAAGAACTTGGCAGGGTTTAACGCAAATTTTCACCGCGTGCGGTGCCAAAACTGCCAGATATGTCTTGTAGCCCGGCTTGGTACCTTTAATTAACCAAACCACATCACAGCAAGAACGCCAGTTGTAATGCATGCGCGACGTGTCCTGGTAGCGAGAAGGGCGTTGAAAACGTTCCCTTCATCCTGTTTGCGTTGCGGCACAGACCAGCACCATTTCCAGAGCATGGCAGGCGCCGGCAACCCGACCCAACTTGATTTTGCTGTTGCTTCTGGTATTTTGCATGCATGCGGGTGAGGATTCTCATATTTTGGATGCCTCGCTGGAATACTGTGCTTGGGTAGTTCGCATGCCGTGCCGCATCCCAGGCGCAGCCGGCTTTAAGTTGGCCTGCGCCTTTCTGACCGTCAGAAGGGCTGTGAGCACGCAGGGAAAGAACCGTATTGAAAAAAGAAAGAGCCAAGAAATCGTTGGTAGCAAGATGGCTTCCGCCTCGGGAGGTTCGATGCGGGGCATCGGATCAAAGAACCGAAGCATTATCCAATCCCCGTTTCGCATCAGCTTGAGTTTGTATAACCCCGACTTTAAACCATTTCAATTTGACGCATTACAATTTCAACTCGCGCCATCTCGCCTTCACACGCCCCCTCCTTCACATCAGTTGAATTTCCCGGTCCGCTCGGCTTTGCGCCTCTGCGACTTCGCAATATTTTTGCTGCCTCTTTGGGTCAAGGAAATAGCTTATTGGCACTGTCGGCGGAGCAAATTCTGCTCGCTCGCCGGAAGGGAGTTTTACCGTGTTTTGGATTTATTTGTTTTACTTCTTTGGTTTGATCTTTAAACCTTTTGTTTTTTTGCGAAATTTTGGCTGGGTTGCAAACGTGTACGCTATAAAAATGCATCTGTAGTGATCCGCGCTCTTCCCCGTATGCCAGGTATTGATCTTAAAATTTTGGCACAATATCCCGGACATACAGGCAAATCGTCAAAAACATGAAATCCTAATAGGGTGAAACCCCAACACGGTCCCCATTTGAAGTAATCGATTTAACCAAATATGAATTGTGATCTGGGCTTTGCCGGCTGCTATGACTGATGCAGGTACTTCTGGAGGGGCAATCCAGATAATCCATTCTGTGACCGTCTAGCATTGTTGAACTGAGCCAGTCACAGAGTGCCAAGCTCCCGCGGTTGCAGTTCATGTTGTTTGCACTATTTTCGCCCGTTAAAAATTTATTCCCGCGTGACAATTAGCAGGTTTCGCACACACAAGAGCCCTCAAATCAAGGGCAGTAAAATGACAGTAAAGTGACGAAATGCACCTTTCCACACTTTTCCAAACTGCGCCACGACAAAATTGAAAGATCATTGAAACTTCAATCCGCGGGTGCTGTGACCGGGCCAATTTGATAGTCTGTGCTCTTATTCCGGTGCTCAATGCTGCTGTCTCGTCTGACAAGGCTTGCAAGGTAATCTTGCATCTGGGAGATCTGCAATGAAGGAGGCCAAACATTCAAGGATGTACACAGACACAGGCGCACACACACACTTGCTCAGGCTTGTCTTATCTAATTGTGATGTGGAATGCATCGGGCGATGAAATTCTGATCAGAGAGGAGGAATAATTAAACCAGATTGTCAACCCGAAGGTAGCCGCATATGTTCCAAGGACGGAGGTGCATCACAGTTGCTTCAGTTGAGGCAAGACCGATGGAATTGCCGTGAGTTATTCAAGCCCAAGACGTAAAGAACAGAGCATCCAGGTGTGAAGGCAAGACCTAAGGAATTACCGGAAGATGACCACCAGCTATGCAAATAGCATCCAGGTGCAACGAATACAGGTACATGGGACTGGCCGGGCCCCATATCCCACGATATCACCCAGCTTCGTTGGTCAAGGTTGGTGATATC